CTGTAAACTGTCTCAAAAGTGTAGTTCATGTTGATAGTTAAGAATGTCTTGTCCTACACTCAGACAACAAAAACAGGCTCAGCAGGTTGTGTTTGCATATTCATGTATACATATAGATATCAATGTGACAATAATAATCAAAGAAAGAGTATCAGTTTAGAGGAGGGGCTGGAGGGAGGGAAGGGGAAGAGGAAAATGATGATATTCTATTATAATATAATATATACAAAAATAAGTGAAATTTAAAAACAGAGAATACCCCATCTTTAAGAAGGAAGTTTTAGTAGAAAGTGGACGCTGGTGGGCAGTTCTCCTCTCTTTGTCTTACTATCGTATAGAACATTTTCAATGGGTGAGAGTGAACTTTTCTAACTTATATTTGCACACATAAGAAAACTAGTGGCAGCAAGACTGGAACACAAGTGCTTGATTGTTTTTGTTTTTTTGTTTTGTTTTGGTTTTTTTTTTGCATGCTCACTGTGTGTCAGGGTCCATTCTAGTTATTTTACACATTCTAGTTATTCACTTCTCACTAGTGTGCATAGTAGGTCTCCTTGCTCCCATTTCACAGAGAGAAATCAGGAGACAAGAGGACACACAGTCAGACCAGGCTCATGTGGGCTAATCCATTTCCCCTCTCTACTATTCTTCAGTTTTATGAATGAAGGGTATTGTTGATAGTACCACCCTGTATCATCGTTATGAGAGGTAGAAAAACTATATTGTGAACTGCTACCACAAAAACTGGTCTACAAAAGGTTGTGAACAAACTACAACCCTTGTTCTGTTTAAATCTCCCTAGTTGAAACCCATAGGTCAAGAAGAAAAGGGCTATAGACCACACTCCCTCCTCTTGGTTGTTGATGGACATTCCTGTATGACCTTTCTTTCTAATGGCAGATGAACTTAGACTATCATTTTCTTGATGGCTATGGAAAAGGTCATTGAGTGACAGCTAATGCACCTTACAGTCATCCTCAAACTACCATAGAAATTCTATCTGTAAAATGAAGTTATTGTTACACTCCCATCAATCTCTGGTTCAGTGCTACCTAGAGATTATTGTTAAACTTCCAGTTCCACGATTTTACTTTAAATCCAGGTGGTGGTGTGGACCTTTTGGTGTGAAATATATTATACTATATTTACCATGAGGGCTCCAGTCATCAAATGACTTGAGTGGAGGGCTGATGGCCTTTGAGCTACAGCCAACGCTCCACAATTCTAATTAGGCAAGACTTCACACTTTCTTCCTTTCTCTTAAGAGGACACTGAGAGTCCAGCATCCATCTTGATCTAAGTTGCCTTCCCGGGGGAGTGGGAGCATTTCTTTCTCATGACACGTTCCTTTGCTTTATTGTTGAGGTCACTTAAATGAATTAAACTGAATTTTAGAAATTTCCTTTGAAATTAGACTAATTATTTTTTAGGCTGATTTTCACCCCTGGTATTTGATATTTAAATAATTCCAGTTAGATAAGTAATCTCTCTCTAGACCTAGAAATAATAATAGTAATAATAATAAACAAATATATGAGGCTTTGTTTTTGTTTGTTTGTTTTTTGGTTTTTCGAGACAGGGTTTCTCTGTATAGCCCTGGCTGTCCTGGAACTCACTCTGTAGACCAGGCTGGCCTCGAACTCAGAAATCCACCTGCCTCAGCCTCCCAAGTGCTGGGATTAAAGAGGTGCCCCACTACTGCCCAGCAATGAGTTCTTACTGAAATTAATATCATTATAAAGCATCTTAGGAAAATTGCCACATGGACCACTTGACACTGAGAAACTGATTAAATAATCAAGTGGACCAGTAGCAGAGCAGCTACCCGTGGCTGTCACTGTCACTAAAATCTTAAACATTAAAGGTAGACATTATCATTACTGTTGATGTGAACATCATCACTACCTTCACTGCCACTTCAAATGATTATGTATCAAAGGATGAAAAACAAAGAACAATAAATACTTGTGTGGCTCTAACAGGTTCCACATATGAGGACAGTTACTTGAAGTTCCATTTTTGAATTTTATGAATATTGAGACTCATGTTTTCCTTGTGTGTGAGGGCTGGTACATGGCCAAGTGGTAGACTGTGCCCCTGAGTTGTGCCATGTCTCAAATTTCATCCCCAGGGCCACCATCAGTCAGGTATGAGCAAATAAAAAACAGATCTGTGCAATATTAATTTATATAAACAAAAATATGGGTCATTTGCCTTAAAATGACACGAGGCAAGAAATGCCATCTCTAAGGGAAAGCAAGTGATGTCATGCCTTTGCTGTAAGTTGTTCTGTAAACACCTGTTTTAAAAGATACATTGAAATCATCTTCAAAGAAATCATAAACATGTGCTCTGTTTCTGGTTCACAGAAATTTTCATCTTGTATAAAGAATCTCCACTTGGTGTGGTGGCACACCTTTAATCTTATCACTTGAGAGGCAAATCTCTGTGTCCACAGCCAGCCTGGTCTGTATACCAAGTCTCAGGACAGCCAGGGCTACAAAATAGAGAGAAACTGTCTCAGAAATCCAAGACAAAACAAGTCTCCAATTGGCGACAGCATATTGGGATATCAGAAATTACACGTCCCTGTGTATGCTTAAATCTTTACATCCTGCAGATATTCTCTCACTAGCAGGCAGTATCCATTAATTTTCCTAAACAATGTTACCCTTAGCTATTTTAAGTTTTTCATAACTTAGAATCAAAGTAGCTTTCTTATATATATACCTAAATTTGTTATAATCTTTTCTTGTCTTCCCCAAAGGTGTGAAATAATTTCACCAAAACTTAAAGAAGGGGGTGGGGGGAGGGAAGGAGGGAGGAGCATATATTAGTATGATCAAAAAGTATTGATAGTCTACTGTGCATGTTTAAGTGTAACAGTAGTAGAGTAATTACTGATATTAAGATATAAATTATCTTCAAAGAGTTGATTCTAGTTTTTAACACACAGGTTGTTAAATAGCCTGAAAATGCTAATTTTTTAAAGTAAATATGTAATGATTTCTAAAATGTGGAAGACAATACTACGTGTAGTCAGCTTACGTTAAGACCAATGGTCCAGCTGCGTATCAGGCTGAGGCATGTGGACATACAGCAGCCATAGTGTGTACACGCTGTCACTTGAACGAGGTGACATAATGATCACTTTGCGCTTTTCGTAGGAGGGATCTTTTTAACACCCAGTTTAGTCTCCTTTTAGGCTCTTTCTGAATCGTAGCATACCACCTGTTTATTAGCTGTACAGTTCTCAGGAAAGACCCAGGCTGGATCCTGTCCTGCCTTTTTCTCTTTGCTTCTTAAACATACTTCAGAAATGATGTGGCATTCCCCTGTCCTTTATTACAAACCCTCTAGAAATAGAAATAAATTACTATCCATCCATGTAAGTAATAGCAAAAGTTACAACATGGAAAACTATGAAAAACGGTACTTAACTCCTTCCATGACTTAGGGGGAAAACACTCCTGCTGTCCACAGCATGAATGGCTCTTTTTAGCTTGGTTTGTTTTGTTTAATGTCCAGGACCTCCAGATTTTTCAAGGGCGTGTGGAGCATTTATATGATGTATGAATGCAGAGGCACATTCCACACATCTGTCTCTGTGGACCTACCCTTTGTGAAATCCTAACCCTGGTATTAACGCTTACATGTTATGAGTCATGGTTCTTCTGAGAGAATTATATAATCTTTAGGGTGTTTGTTTGATATATATGGCAAAAATGAATCAATCTCTCTCTCTCTCTCTCTCTCTCTCTCTCTCTCTCTCTCTCTCTCTCTCCCTCTCTCCATCTCTCTTTTTCTCTCTCTTTCTCTTTCTCCTGTAATCCCGCCGCTGCCCATTTGTTGGTGAATTTCTTCTCCTCTCTCTGTGACCTGTGAATATCAGTGTAGGCTCACTGCCAAGTTTGTGAGCCGCTGCCTGGTTCAAAATGGAGGCAGGAAGGTATCCATTTTCATCAAGAGGATGAGCCGTTCCGTCTTTCCGACCATCTGGAGAGAGGAACTTTTTAGAGCAAAAGAAAATGGGAATTGAAAAAGAAATAAAAAAAGATTATATTTAGCAAAAAAAGGCAAGGGAGAGAACCAATTAAAGTTAAACTGTACCTTATGAATTTATGCTTCGCTGTGATGCTGTCCTGCTTCAAGGAAACACAAACAAGCAAACACAAGGACTATTTTTAAAAGGAAATGCTTCCCCAAGCCCCATGAGGATCAGTAAACGAATGTTAAGTAAATTAGGGTTTTGGCACACTTTTAAAGTTTATTGTACACAGAAATATAATAAGCACTTAAAAAGAGACAGCCCCCTCTTCCTGTGTACATACTGATTGTTGGTGGTCCTGTGCTGATCTGGGCACTTAATGGTCTTCTTCCTGCATCTCTGCAAACACTGTGTGGATTAATAGTCCAAGATATATATGTACTTATCACTCATTCCTGATTCCTCTCCTCTCCTCTCCCTCTCCCTCTCCCTCTCCCTCTCCCTCTCCCGCTGCGTCTCCCTCTCCTCCGCTCTCTCCTCTCTCCTCTCTCCTCTCTCCTTCTTTCCTCCCTCTGCCTGCCTTCTCCCTACCTCCTACATTGCAAGTGAAATTTTTAATTGAAAGGTAGAGGTTTGGTCTGACTTTGGGGAGAGACTGCGTGCAAACATTCTGCTTTACCCCTAGCATGCTCACGGGCCATCTGTGTTTAAAAAAGAAAGGAATGGGGGCCGCTCCGTGACCTGCAGTGTATATTTACCACTACGACATGGTTTGCAGGGTTCTCGCCCGGACTGGAAAATCTCATTCCTGATTATTTTATGTTGACACAAATATACAGCACTCTTTTTTTCTTCTGTATTCAAAGGAGGCAGTGTTTCTAGGGTTGGACCAGGTTTAGACTCTTACAGCATCCAAATTTAGCATTTTTGTGCCAGCTTCTTACCAAATCATGGATGTAGAGATGCTTTGATCACTGTTGAAAGCAAATTTCATGTGGTTCTCCTTCCTCAGGTCTACGCTCCTTCAGCCAGCACTGCCGACTACAACAGGGACTCGCCAGGCTATCCTTCCTCTAAGCCAGCAGCTAGCACTTTCCCTAGCTCCTTCTTCATGCAAGGTAAGGTACTTCTTTGCCTGCGGGGAAATCCACAGGCCATTTAGTGTTATATACAGAGCAAAAGAAACGGCATCATAGACAAAAGAAGAGGGGAGTAGATGTGTTTCCTTTCTTAGGAATTGAATTTCTTACCAAACTAAGTAAAGATTTCCCAAGACTTTTTTTTCTCTTACATTAAAGCCCTTTGACCTCTGATAGGTTAAAATTAAATTACTTCACATAAAAATGAGTCCCTTTTTGGTCTTCCAAGATCGTCAGTCTCCAGTCTCCCTGCCATCTTCCAAACACATGCAGGTTTAAACACGTATCTTCCAGCTCAGGGTATGTTTTGAAGATCTTGTATTTTGTCAAGAGGAAAGAGGTGCCTCCTCAGTCTAGCCCTCTGTAAAGTTCTGAACCACGTAGTAATGGATAAATGAGAACAAGGTTCCACTGAGGCCTCAGTGACCCACTGCACCATGGGAGTGCTGCACAGAGAAAGTTGTGCAGAGACACACTAATTGATTTAAGGTACAGGAAAACTTTGAAGGGCGTACAAGGAGTACATGGCAGGGGTTTGTAGCTTTGTGGTGGACAGTGACTATGTGCTCTATTCATTTTTCCATTGTTTTTAGTCAAAAACAGATGGCTCTATATCCCTGGAGCTTATATATTGCCACTGGCCATTTAGCTCCTTTCTACTAACTGGAAAAGGCCAGGATCGTAAAAATAATGTCAGCTACTTTGCAAATGGTCTGTTCAGAAGAAGGAGCTGTGTATTCCGTCCTTGCCATGCCTAGGTACTTACTTACAGCTGTAATGGTCTTAGTCCCAAGATACCCTGAGCTCAGAGGGAGGGTTTACCAAGAGCTCCTGTAAATATACAACTCTTAAATCACCCAGGTGTGCGTACCTGACTTGAATATGCCTTGGATCAGTGCAAAGTGACACAACTGTCAGGACAGTGACATAGAAATGAGGACACACTCAGGGCAGCAATGCTAAGGTGTCACTGAGATTGCAGAGGGTATACTGAAGAATACTGTGAAGAGATTAGACTCATCTTCTCCTCCCCTGTCAGCTCATTTAATGGCTGGTTCACATGTGAAGTTCTACTGAAGTTCTACTAAAACTTAACAGAATGGATCCCTTGGAGCTGGGGAGAATTTGTTCCACAGATCACTGAGTTCATGGTCACAGGCCTCCTCTATCTATCTTTGTGACCTGACCTAGGTATAGTTCTCAAAGGGGCACAGTGGCTAGTCACTCAGGTACATTCTGTGCCATGACAGTGAGCTCATTGCCTTTGGCTATATAGATGCTGCCAACTCAAGGATTCATTATGTCAAAACTCAGGTTTTCATTAAAAAAAAAATGGACAGAAGACTAAAATCCCTCAGTGTGTCTGAGAAACTTGTTGTCTTGACCTGTATGCATAGCAAAAAGGCCATGTAGATTAAAGCAGTAGGTACCTTTCCATAGCTCACCCCATAAACTATGGGGAACAGATTTGTTTTTTCTGCATATGAATACTCAAAAAAAACTTTCAGTTGACATTTATGATGAGCACAATTAATTTGCACACATTTAATTCTATTCTTCCAAAACAACATTATGCCAAGATCATGGGATGTGATAAATATTAATTTACTCTGAAAAGCATAATTTATGTAAAATACATATTTTTATAAGTCTGCATCGAGTCGAAGATGCTGTGTTAACAATCCAAAGTGTATTGCCACCCCATGCATCGAGTGTCAGAATATTTCAGGAAAACGCTTATTCAGTGACCCATTTTCTCGATTTATTTGTCAGATGCGTACTCCACTCGAAGTGTTAGTGGGTCTCGAACTTCATATTTAAATTTAAGGTGGCATTTTCCATGTTTCCTACTAAATCTAAAGTACATAGGATGTTAACTTGGGGTTGGGAGTGATGGCCCAGAGGGGAGAATGATTTTTGTAATAAGATGGGGACTTGAGTTTGAATCCTTAATGAACATGAACACATGGTGGGTTTGTTTTTTTTTTTTTTTTTTTTTTTTTTTTTTTTTTTTTTGCACCCATACATACACACACACAAAGACACACCCACCAAGACCAGTTCACTTTTTAAAGACACTTAAGTTACCACAAGGCGAGAATAGACATCAACAGTGACCTGATGATTCAGTCTCACACACATCAGTTCCCTCTCTGTGTTGCAAGGGTGGTCATGGCAGGGCTTAGAAGAACACACCGTGATAAAGACGGGTAATGAGACTGTCAGCCACCCTATTCTCAACCCACTACTGGGATCTCTTACATTGTGTCTTTTCATCCTTCGGTTACAAGTCTACAGTTGTCAACATTACAGACATAATTATACACACATGGTTCTTAAAGGTAGAAATCCACCATCTCTGGTTCTGCAATTCTAACTCCAGAATTGAAAATTTCACTGGGGTTGGGGTGGGTGTTGGGGAGAAAACAGCTTCATGAAATAAAATATCAGATGAAATTTGCCTGATTTAAAAGGCTATGATTATGTATAAGTTACTGTGAAAAATAAGTTTGTTTTCAACAAGGAATAACCGAATACTTTCAATATGAAGCCGATGGCCTGGTATAAATCCAATAGTCGATTTTGTTTAATAACTAAGAGAAGGGAAAGTGAATGAATTAATCAGTAGTGGTTTGGGCTGTCTCTAGCCCTTGGCTTTCTTTGAGAAATACAAATTAAACAATCACAATCTATAACCTCAGGACCAGGGAGTGAAAGAAATCTTGCATTCTGCTATTAATGAGAGGTTACCTCCATGCTAAAAGACCCTTTAAAACAATGTATCTCTATGACTTATTTTCAAACTCTTGACCTCATATATTTATGAAATCCCGAGGCTATCAATTTTATTCCTTATTATGATATCTATCATAGGACACACATGCTCCCCTAACATTGCTCATGAAGGTTTACAATAGTTGTATGCAACACATACTAAATTCCAAAATGATCTGGGAGAGAAATATTGAAAATCCTCTTCCCCACTTACCATAAGATAATCCCAACATTAATTCTCTGTATTGTGCATAGCACAGAAATGAAATCCAACCTTCTAAATCTGGGCTGTTCTTTTCCAGTAGTCATTTCAGTGTAGGCTCTTCAAACTTGCAACCATGCCAACTCTGTGAGGTCCCAACTGTTTTATTTTCACCCTGAAGTTTGGAAATGCTTTAACTTTTCAGATTACTTTCATAAAAGTGAGGGTTGGATAGAAAGAACTGTTTCTTTCGGCATGAACTACCTTGCTTGACATCGTTCTGCAGAGAAATATGTTCTGTTCTTTTCCGGTTGATTTTTTTTTTAATTTTTAATTTTTCTTTTACTAAGAGCACAAACTTAAATGTTTCTATTTGTTTGACAATATAAAAAGCCACTTGGGAAAAAGTAATGATGACTGTCGTGTGATGTAATCAGCTAAGCAACACAAAGATGAATACACAACGGGAGGTTATTTTCAAGTATATGAAGAAACCCTATTCTCAAAGGCAAGGCTGAATGCCTCAGAAAAGTCACGGTTTTCTTTGTCCTTTACAGATGGCCATCACAGCAGTGACCCTTGGAGCTCCTCCAGTGGAATGAATCAGCCTGGCTATGGAGGGATGCTGGGCAATTCTTCTCATATTCCACAGTCTAGCAGCTACTGTAGCCTGCATCCACACGAACGTTTGGTAAGGAAGGTTCCCGGGGATGGGGAGAGCACCGCTGGCTAGTTTATGAGGTTTCATCTCTGTGTGTACACAAGGACTCTGCAAAAAGAGGCGGAAAATAGCCCTCGCCTATTATTCTCCAAGTTTTATTGTTTTTGTGATCAAAGGCTCGACAGAAGCGGATCACCTCTGTAAACCTTCCAGAGCTTCTCTGCCATTGTCCCTTTGTTTATTGTGTTTTGTTCTGTTTTCTTTATGGCGATGTCAGCTTTCTTCGGTTCATAAACACAGTGGATTTGAGTTGCAGAGCCTCAGCAATGGCCTTGTCTTTTTTTTTTTTTTCACTGTCTGAAATTCTGGAGGATGCTCTGCTAAGGGAAGAGTGAGAAGGATTTGAGATGACAGGAATTTCCATGTTAGTTTTGACCTATGGTGACCTATAGGAAAAGTTTGTTTTCTATGTAACCTTGGGAATAGCAAACTGTGGAATATCCACATGCGTTGGATTTTTTAATTTTAATTCCATACAAGTGTCACTCCTGTTCGGCTTTGCTCAACATCCCCGTAAAAACTGCATTTTGTAATATTACGTCTTTTCTTAGTAAGGCTTTTCCTCTCTGCCTATGGCTTCTACTACCTGACCTTCATATATTTCCTTGTCCCAGAGGAATCAGCCATCTGACTCTCTCTAGGCTTAAAAACCACCACAGCCAAGAATCAACTTATGTAGTTATATCTATTATTGAGGAAAATAAAATGTCTAGATCACGAATTGGGTATGGGATGCAGATCACATGAGACTTGAGTTCATTGTTCAATAACATGCAATTAAAATGGTATGGCCCTCAGGCTGGGAAGATGAATCCATAGGCAAGAAGACTTGTAAACATGAGGACCTAAGTTCAAATCCCCAGCACCCATGTAAATAGTTGGGCTTGCCTATGTGCCTGTAACCCCGGCATTGGAGAAAAAGTTGGGGAAGGGAGACAGACAGATCCAAACAGTTTGCTGGACAGCCACTCTAGTCAAAAATGAAGTCCTGTCTCAAGGCACTGAGGCAGAGAGTGATGGAAACATCCAAAATCCTGCTCTGGCCTTTTTATGTGTACACACAGTTGCATGTACCTGCATGCCCACATGCATGTGCTATACATACACGCACATGCACACATACACACACTGATATACACACACTAACACATTGGTATACATACACACAGACAGACACACTAATATATACACACACCTTCAAACCCCACAAATGTGAATGGAAGTCTGTGGTCTATGATTGTGACGCCATCTCTTCTTGATATTTTTCTTTTTCTTGTTTTTGCATTTATTACTTTTTCTCTGTCCCAATCAGGGAAATTCTTTCTGGCTTCCTCTAGTCTCTCCTCTCCTTTGTTCAATCATTGCATATATAGAAGAAAGAAAGGCTTTATATTCTTCCCTGATGGACAAAAGATTCCAGACATAGAAGTTCTAATACCTTGAAAATGCATACTTAGTTGACTCTAGAGCACAAGACCCCGTGTGGTCACTTAGTCTTTATTTTCCTGAGGAGCAGGTGGTAGTGATGGGCCTGGCCTGTTTCTTATCTCTCCTGAGTTCAAATGTATAAATTGCAAACATCTCAAATCTTAGCACATTTTCGATAAACCGCAAATAACTGAGCTTCAGATTGCCTCTTCTCCCACCCGTACTTGGAGGCATTCAAGTGAAAGTGTAGGGAAATACCAACTGTAATTAGAATATCTTTTGGTAACCTGTTTACTTACGCATTCTGGTCTTGCCTAGGACCCGTAATCAAAACTGGGGAAGTAATGGATACAAATTAAAGTTTGGAGTGATATGTTAAATGTTAAAATTCCAATCCTTTGAAGATTTGTCCACATGTATTTTTCTTTCCTCTATAATATTTCATGTTTTGATTATATTTTACAATTTTGCATCGTGATATGATTTTATCCCACTAGAGTTCACTGCATGTGGAGGGAGCCCTTAAACGATGCTTAGATGCACAAAAGGCATGATTTCAAGTCAGAAACAGGCACATTTTAGAAAAGGCTCTAATGAATCAACACAGTGTCATTGTTCAGACAGGAAGGTCATTTTAAAGCAGCGCCTCAGTAGATCACATGAGAAGACACAGTGGTTAAGCCATGTGGTCATCTCAGAGCCCAGGTTCCCATTCTTAATTCGACCAGTTAGCAAATTTCAGAGAGTTAAGATTCTTACTTTAAAGGGTAAATGAATAAGGTCTCTGGTAATGTATCCTAATGAGTTTTCCCACTGAGAGTGAAACTATTGAATTATTACATCTAGTTATCATTGTAATTTCAGTATTTAGCCATATGACAATCTCTCACTGAAGTGACTTTGAAGACTCTGACACTGATTGGGAATAATTTGAATATCCAACAGCAGTCAGCATCTTTTATCTTGAAAATAGTGACGTTTCCCTACAGCTCCGATCTGTAATGATCTGTAACATTTGGTTAACCGCATGCTAAAAGGGGGCTAACTTAGGACGAGAGGCTTCCCTGATTATTTTGGATATAATTTGACCACTATCATATTATCTCTGAAGGTGAAATCTTGTGGAAACACTGTGAACTTCATCATTTTCCACCGTTATAATAGACTGTATAATGAGTAAGTTTCAGTTCCATGCATTTTACCTCCAAGTGCTACCAGTTTTAAGTATTTAAATCCCCTTTACAGTTTTGGCTTTTACAACTGAATCTCATAGCATACACACACACACACACACACACACACAAACACACACACACACAGAAAGAGGAGGGGGACCACCTCCAATGAATGGACTTTATAGTTAAGCTTTGGAATGGGTCTTTGTAGAAAATTTAAATTTGGAGAGACTTGGCCAAGATGTTTGAAAAAGAAGGCTAGAGTCCTCACCACCCTACTTCAATGCTGCATGGTGTATGTAGCATTCTGGGGCATCTGAAATATTAGCGTAATGGAAGTTACTTTATTTTCTATTTCTGTACATCAGTTCTTTACAAACTGGGTTCAAGGCTGCCTTAAGGATCCATTGGACAATGTTTAGAGACATATTTGCAGTAACAGCTGGTATATGGATGCCACTGGTGTCCAGTGGGTAGAGACAAGAGATGCTAATAACCATCTACACAGGAAAGCTCTATGGCAATGAAATATCTGTTACAAAAGGCCACGAGTACCAAGACTATGAAATACTACTTTGGCCTATAGTGCCATTTCATTCTTAGTATGTGCTACCAATTCTTAGACTTGTGAATCTTCAAATCACCAACCCAGAGATCAATGACAAACATCACCACTGTGAATGCTTATAACACTTGGCATGATCAATAGACTCTAAGGTGGGTATCAGAAGTTTTTTTTAAAAAAAAAAAAGACAAGAAGGAAGGGAGGGAGGGAGGGAGGCAGAAAGAAAGGAAGAAAGAAAGAAGGAAGAAGGAAAGAAGGAAAGAAGGAAGGAAGGAAGGAAGGAAAGAAAGAAAGAAAGAAAGAAAGAAAGAAAGAAAGAAAGAAAGAAAGAAAGAAAGAAGGAAAGGAAGGAAGGAAGGAAAGGACCTTGAAGAGGGTGGACATGGAAGGCCATGGCACTTGAACACTCGAACAGACCACATTCCCCCTCACCATTATAGCAAGCAGGATGGACGATTGCTGGAGAAAGATCAAGATTCTTAAATCTTCTAAGAGAACTATTTGCCATCACTAATGATCTCCATGCTGGATTTATTAACTTTCCGATAACATGAGTTTTCAAGATACTCCCCATTGAAAAGTAATCTAGTTATAAATCTCATTAATTTGTTTCAGCATCTAATTTTCAATGTGTCTCTGAAAATAACTGATTTAGTATGGACTGCATCGGTTTCCCCATTAAGCTCTGGGGATTGCTTTTCTTCCTTCATATTCTCTGCACATAGCTTTAACCCTTTGTGGGCCACACCCTAAATTATCCTCCATTTTCCATGAAGTTAGAAGAGTCCAAAGAGTCTCACTGATGATTTCTCTGTTTCTCTTTCCCATCTTCTAGTTATTATAATTAATTAAATATTTCTCATTATTGTATTTCTCTCTGATTCTTCTTTTCCACATGGTTCTTTTTTCTCTCTGTCTCTATCATAATCTTTTATCTCGGAAGCAGAACTAGCTATGCCCCAACTCTTCTAAGTTTAGTTTTCCCAGTCTTGTATCTTACCTTGTCTCTTTTATAATTTGTACTGTAGAGAAATCCCAGCCTCATACTTTAGAGATTATTGTATGGGTGACTTGGGAGACCCACGCCTCCAGTATAAATGAGATTTACCAGTGGCCTGGCCTGGGGGGAAGTTACCTCTGTCCTTACATTGACACCTTCTAAGTTTAACTATCTGATGGTATACATGGGAGTGATATTTTTGACGATGTCCATGTGTCAGACCCAGCTCTAAAATGTAGATGCATGACCTGGACTGTTTGGCAGTCCTTTGAATAAGTCATACTTCAGTTCATAAACATGGACTATCATTGTATGTTTACTGCTTAGCATGAGGATGTATGAGCTCCATTCCCTCCCCTTAAGGGCGCTCACAGTGTTATGGGAATGTACTTGGACAACAGGCAATGGCTGACCCAGGAGTGAGTGTGAGGTGGTAGTGCAGAGTGCAGGTACAATTGGGCTGAACTTACAGGAGAATGGCAAGCAAAAAAGGAATCATCCAGGAAGAAGCAGAACTAAACAGATCAGTTGGCTAGCACCAAGAAACCATGTTCCTTCCTTGTTAACAAATGCCTTGGTTTTAGTACTTCCCAGTGTCTGCAGTATTTAATAGCTCTATTTTAAAACATTTTAAAAAGCTTCTCTAAGCATGAGATAATAAGTACCCGTTACCCAATCTCTATTTTTAAACTAAGCAATTAAATGCATCTCCAATAATGATATAATAAAAAATCGTAGCTATCAATTTATCACATCACTAAAATATTTATCTTTACATATTTTCTTTAATATCGATGGCACATCCAAATGCTTATAAAGCAAAAACGAGAGCAAGTTTCAGCTACTGGGTTTTAAACTTGATTGGTCGGTTTTGGCTTTTTTTTTTTGGTTTGTTTGTTTGTTTGGAAAAAAGATAGTTTGAGGTGTCCTTTTAAATCCATGTATCCTTTTGGTGATCCTCTCCCCATGAGATGGATACACAACAACTAATGTCCCACCTTCAATCATTTGAACAACTGGTGTAGAATTGAATCTGAAGCTAAACCTTAAGCCCAGCAACCATTTAGAGATGCTCTTTCTTCCTAGTCAGCGAAGTAGTCTATGCAGCATGCGAAGGAGGAACTCAGAGCGAAATAAAGCCTAATCAAGTCTTTGGATACCCAATCAATTCAGTGAGGCCACTAATGTAAACTTTCTCACACTCAGGCTTTAGAGAGATTTAGCTTTTAATTCTTTTAAAAGTTTTTCATTTCCTATCTTGTTCTCAATGCCAAGATTCATTGAGCAAAATCATCCAACTGGAAAGGAAGTATTTTGCCATGTAGCGGTTAGAGGCCTGGGTCCGGTGTAACACAAACCCTGGAGATCTGTATGTTGTACTCGTTATAGACAGTCTTCTTCAGTTGTTTAGTAGGCCACAGGAAAACAAATAATAGAAGAAGCTGTGTCTGTTTCGGAAGTCTATGAGATGATTTTGTGGGTTTCTGTTTGTTTGTTTGTTTGTTTGTTTTGTTTTGATTTAACCAATGATTTGTAGATTTAGGGATTTTGATCTTTCCTTGATGTCCTGGGTGGCTATGGTATTCCTTGACACTTGATACATCCACAGATCAACTTTGGATCTATGTATATTTGGCTGTTTAGAAAAATGAAAGCTATCAGATAGAACAGGATGTTTGCTTGACTGTTTTGAAATTCTGAAAGCATCTCCCTTGCGATCTTGTGAGTTCTGAAAGAAGCATCAGAAAAGTAAGTATAACATGACTGAATGTGGCCTTCTTTCTTCCCCCGGCTGCAGAGCTATCCATCCCACTCCTCGGCAGACATCAACTCCAGTCTTCCTCCGATGTCCACGTTCCATCGTAGTGGCACAAACCATTACAGCACCTCTTCCTGCACGCCTCCTGCCAACGGAACAGACAGTATAATGGGTGAGTAGTGTAAATGCCAACCCACACGCCAGTATTCCATGGCAGGGTTTAATAATGAAGACCCTCTTCCTCCTCTCATAATGGAATTATAAGCAGGCAATAAATATTTGTCACTTCAGCGAATGAACAGATGAATGGATTCAATAGAAATAATCACTGGCTTGCCCTTAGCCACTTTTTTTTTTTGGTCAGAAGAAACTGAAATCTGACTTGGTTGTCCATGGTGAGTCATTAAGTTAAATAAGGGTTTCGGTAGACCCAGACTCTCATGCATCTCATGTTCTCAAACATCAGGCAAGCAAAGTTTCCTTAAGACCAGTGAGATAAGGGAACCAGTTATACTTAATACCAGTAGTTACTCATCACTTTCCAGAGATTGACCATCATGCTAAGTTCTTAACCATGCTGTGTCACTGTCTTGCAAAGACTTGTTTATATGAAGTTTTCCATTCAAAGTTATTTTGATAGCTAGATGAATTTAACTAACAGAGAATGTAACATTATGGAGCCCTTGAAGAGAAATAGTACTTGTTCACATAGGAAAGATGTCTGGCTAACAGTAGGTCCAAAATTATTTCCTGTGGGCTTTGTAATAAGTTTAGGCTCAGGAAGATTGTTGCTGCCAAATGTTTTATCTGCTCATGTCCTCTGATGTCTGTGGTGATCTGTTAGTATAGATGGATCTCTGCCAGTACTGTTTTCCTTAGGGAAGAGCTAGCCAGGGCATTTAGCTATTCCTAACGGGAAGATACTGGCTGGTTCAGAGGCAGCTACTTCCCTGTGGATCAACCTTGACAAGCTTCCCATTCTGTTACACAGCACATCTAGATGCTCCAGGGTCCTCATATAACCCAAGACATTGATGGTCACAGCTTACTTTATTCTACTTGAAGCCATACTTGTCAGGTGCATTGAGTAATTTTCTTGTTGCTGTGATAAATGCCTGAGAGAAGCACCTTTAGAGAGGACGGTTTTGTCTGAGCTCATGGTTTGAAGAGACACAGTCTAGCATGGCCTGGGGCCTTGTCCTGGAGGGTAGAGCTTGCAGTGTAAATTATTATATCTCAGTGGATCAGAAACCAGAGAGCATAAATGGGGGTAGGCTGTCCCCATTGTGCTGTGCCTACAGTGGTCTGTGTCTGCCGCCCAGGCCCTGTGTCTCACAGTTTCCAGAATCTTCGAAAACACACCACCGGCTAGGAACAAAGTGTTCAGAATCATGAGCCTGTGGGGGACAGTTCACATTCAAACTGTAACAGCTTGGCCTTTGAGATCATTCACAGAGGGTCAATGATGAGAAACTCAGGGTTTGTTCTAGAGAACAAATGCAGAACACCATGCTGCTGTTTATTGCTTTAGCCTTTTGTAATTTTTTTTCCTCTTTTTCTTTTGAACTTTGGGAATTGTATGAATCACTTATGTGGGAGAGTTTTTAGTGAAAGAGATGGTATTAAACTGTTAAAGTATACTCTCTAGCCAACCAATACTCTGTTTCTTTATTCAGTAATTTATTTCACACTTGAGATGAGCCACCTAGCAGCCCTGTCCTATCACATCTCACAGCGAAGCAAATTTAGGAATGAGTTTCCATTTCTGGAACTTTCCAGAAGAGAACCTTTACAAGTGTGTTGTACCAGTCTGACCTTAGAGAGCTATGGCCAGAGGTCACATGGGAGAAGTTTTATTAGCAACCAGTGAAGTTTGAGCAGATTTGAAAAACAAGAAGAAAGAAAGAAAAGTGCAGAACTGAAAGACTGAAAGGGGTACATTTCACTTCAGTGTGGTTTGACAAATGGAAAGCCCCTTCTGCAGTCATGAGGTCGGTTATAAAGAATGGCCGGTCACTCATCCTTGTACATGACAGGTTTCCTGTCTACTTGTGGTTTGAGTCATTTTCTTTTTAAGGAAGATATGGAGGTGGAGTGGACCTCCGAGTTCATGAAAACACATTTGAGCACTCTTTTAGAAAGGATTGTGTAGACCTAACCTTCAGTCTGTCTATGAGTGAGGCATGTATCACTGGATAAAACCCTTTGTGAGTCTTGAACATCTCAGTTGCTCAGTACAGTCAGAATAAGGGTTACTTGTTTTAGATGGTCCCATTGCCATCCGCTTGCAGACAAATAGCAGTAGCCTGAGCACAGTAGAGGAATGTGTGAGCCCTACAGATGAAGAGTCTAGCTGCATGCTAAAGATGAATTTGGCTTTATGTATAAGCCTCAAGGTCCTGTTAAGTGTCCAGACAATAGTAAAGACCTCCAATTTAAAAAGAAAAATAAGAAACTCTTAGAACCCAAACAAAGGATTTCTTAGGAAATGTTCTCCATAAATCATTGTATTTAATGATTTGTATTCTTGTCAAAAATCTTATTAGAAAAACCATTTTAAAAATCATCATAATATCTTAGAAAATAAGTACATCTGGTAATTCAGCCCTACAATGATAACACATTCTTATTAAATTTGCATAAATATGAGAGTTACTTTAAAGCTACTTTAAGGGAAAAAGTTCTTGAATATTCCAGAATGCTCTGCCTTAGAATCTCGATTTCCTTGCATACAAATGCAGAGGAACATTGAAGAGCAATTGTTAAGCCTTATTATTCTCCTGGTGCTCTGACTCTCACATGTCTTCATGCAAAAGTCGCCTCGGCTTTGGTTTGGCAGAGGGAAGAAGCCTGTGATAGCAGCATGTCTGCAGAACACGAAGAGAAGCATTCTCTTCTGAAGTCAGTGTGTTTCTCTAACGAACAGTGCTGGCTAATAGGATACATCTGTAGACTTTGAAAATATTTGGCCTATACTCACTCATTCTGAAATGCAGGAAATAAAGAAATACTACATTGCCTGTATCTCAAAGAACAACCAGGGCTAATTAAATAATTGGTAAATAAGGAACACATAGCCCAACACATGTTTGAGATTACACACATGATCCTGGAGAGAGAGAGGAAAAAAGAAAAAAAACAGAAGAGCACTAATGTCATAAGAATGGGTCCAAGCACTAACATGAGGACAGCCTCCGTATTCAAGTTTCCTTGGCACAACGTTGCAAGGCACTGCAGTTCTCTGAGACAGGACACTGTTATCTGCAGAAGCTTTCTGGGTTCAGAAGGCTGTCCCGTGTCTCAGTATCATGTGATAATGTTCCACCATGGTTGTCAGCCATTGTCCTAAACCAACTATGGAACCTCACGGTGTCTACAGGATGAGGCACAAGCCCTGGAACTTCAGGAGGCCTGCACTTCATGTCATGTCCATTTGCTGCATCCCAAAGATGGAAAGTGGTCACTCGGGTTGGAATGGCTCAGCACTTGTCTTGCTGAGACAACTGGCCATGCCTTCTTTTTGTTTGCTCATTTGTTTCTTTTTTGCCCTTTCATGTCCAGTGCCAGTTATTTTAAGAAACATTTATGAAACTTTTAATGACATATCCATTCATGGTAAAATATTTCACTGTGGCTTATGGCCCATTCCTGTTCTACCTAAGCAAATACTAGCACGTTCTGGAAATTACATCAGCCATGTCTTGATAGAAAGGGTCTCAGAAGCACCCTGGAATAAAAAATGGGGTCAATAGGGCACATCATGGGTCAATGTCAGCTCAGCTGGTTTAGCACCTGGGCAAGGTGGGAGCTGGCCCGGGGCCTTTAGGAAGTTACTTGCATCTGAGTGCTTCTGTTTCATCCCTTTCAATGCCAAGCTTGTGTCAGAAGTGGTCCAGCCCAGATCACCTCGATCCAAGGATGCACTCAGAGGAAGTTTCTAGATGCCAGCTGAAGAGAACAGAGTTGTCTACAGGGTAGTACACTTTGCTGTCTTCCTACTTCTTTCCTTCCTGGATAATCAACTCTTGCTGATCAGGAGGGAGAGAACCTTTTGCCATAGGATAGGTCAAGGAGGTTCCCCAGGCCTAAGAGCCACTCAGCAGTCTGCAGATTCCAGTCAGAGTTTCCAACTGTATACATTGACAGCACACTCTTTGAGATTTGGGACCACAAACCTTCCCCATCCCTCACAGGGAATTGAGCATATAACAACATAATGTTTTATAATAACCACTATTGTTTTATTAGTCTTTAAGTGGGCTGCCTTCTGACTGCAGAAAAAGATGCTATTTCCCATGTTTTTAAACCTCAAACCAAGTAGTGTTGAAGGAACAGGCTACTAAGTTTGATTTAATGCACCATATGTTAAAGATTATTCTGAAATATCTAACTGGTTCATGAATTAATCTGACTTACAACTTTCACTCCTCCTGACATGTTTGTGTGACATGAGGCATGTTGGGATGTGGCTTTCTAGTAGAAACATTATGTCCTTCTTTCCCTAGAGAGCTTGGTTTCATAGTAATTTTTTTTATTATTCAACTAGTCACATAATATCCAGTCTGTGTTTTATGAGGTTCATGAGCCTTTAGATGAATTTGGGTGATGACCAGGCACAGACTGAAGAGTAAAGAAACATTTTATCCAGCAGCTTGGGGTCTGTAGTTATAAAGACCACCAATGGAGAGCAATAAATGAGTTTGATTTAAGCCCCTCTCCCATTTCCTGCACACAGTCAGGAGTCCCACCTTCCCCCATGTATGCCTGGAGCCCTTCCCACATGGCATTAGTACATCACGCCCCATGTTGGAGGTTCTTCTAAAAGAGTCTTGGAGGAATGTTGGCAACATTCCATTTCATAGTCATCTCTGTGGACAAACTCATGGCATTGCTATGCTTCTCCTTAGCACTTTAATGACATGAGGGTCACCAAACACAGTTCAGAAGAGCCTCATCTTAAGGTAGTGCTTGTCTGGAGAACACCGACTTGTACTTCCTCTGCCTTTTGATGTCCCCTCTTCCCTGCCGCAGGTTATGGGCGTGCAATAAAGGGGAAACATATTTTCCAGATTCTGATTTTCAGAGCTCATCCCCAGGCACCACTTGTCCTGGTATTTTGTTTGGAGTGTGTTCTGATGGGATTCACCATTTCCCCAAAGCGGACACTCACGGAGGGTGGTCCAGCACTGAGCACAGGATATGAAACCTTTGCGTGTGTTTCATCTAGCCAGCAACAGCACCTGTGCTGGAGTCCTCTAAACAATACTTGAGTGGCTCGCAGTATCAAACACTCCTACAAAATCACAAAGCTTTTCATAATTGCTCATCTTCCATTCATATTTTTGTTGTACTTCTACTTAGAGGCCGGTTTGTGTGTGTGTGTGTGTGTGTGTGTGTGTGTGTGTGTGTGTGTGTTTTGTTTTGGTTTTGGGGTGTTTGTTTGTCTTTTGTGTGTTTTTTTTCATTTTTGTTTTTGTTGTTGCTTTGGGTTTTTTTCATTTGTTTGTTGGTTTTTGTTTTGTTTTGTTTTTTGTCTGTTGAGCAAAAGAAATTGATTCGAACCAAAGAGCAAATAAACTGGTCCACATATAGACATGGTAGACAATGAGTTTCAAATCTGTTTCTGTGACATGAACATTAGTGATTTCTAATAATATACATTGACAAAACCCAGGTACTAAAATAACAATGAAGTCTTTAATACACTGAAGCCCGAAAGGTGGATTTGATGTGTGTTTTGCTAAGCATGACCCACTTTCCAGTACCAAAACCAAATATTAATACATTTGAGAATTAAAAACATATCTCCTTTCTAATGCTGTGTGACCTTTTGTATATTGGTCACACAAACAAAAAGAGACATCTTTAAGAGAGAACCAATCTAATGTTGAAAATGTGCCTACTCCGTGTTTCCTGGAACAGAACAAATGGCATGCCCAGTGAAAGAGTAGATTGGCCCCAGCAAACTGCTTTGAAATGTAAGCCTTTAGGTTGGGCTGTCTAGCTCTTGCAAGGTAAAATGGCTTCAAGTTAAAAAATAGTCTGTTCTTATCAGTGGCTTGCATAAATAGCCTTTGTAGTTTTCTGAAACATTTTTATGACCAGATGAGGTAAGGATTTGATTCTATTTTTGATTCCGCTTCCTGAGTCTTAATATCTCTTTGTATAAAGAAGACACTAATAGCTTAGTTTAAAAGGCTCGGTGCTTTAAAACAAAAAATTACACTGGGATTGGAGAGTTGGCCCTGCTGTTCTTGTGAAGACCCAGATTCAATTCTCAGAGCCTATATGATGGCTCACAGCCATTCGTAACTCCAGTCCCAGGAGACCCAAAGCTTCCTTTTGACCTTCTTGGGTACCAGGCACACATGTGGTATACACACACCACAGAGGCAAAATACTCATGCACATAAAATAGTAACATAAACGAGTCTAAAAATCTTTTAAATCACACTCAGAGTAACCTCTCTGTGGATGTTCTTAGAATGTGTTTGTTGGTTTTCCAAGTCTTCCTGATTTGTATCTTGGAAATGGATGGTTGCAGGGATAGATTTTAATTTATAATCTTCATTTTAAAATTGTTCAAAAGAAGGAGTCAATCTTCTGAAAGCTACTGCTATGGCAACTTTTTTTTATTGATAAGCTTTTGTTCTTTTTTTGTTTAGGTTCTTGGTTAGTAAATGTGGTTTTTTTGTTTGTTTGTTTGTTTGTTTGTTTGTTTTTTAACCAATGTTTCTTTGAACATTTACTTCATGAAGATCTGTGTAAGAATCAGATATCTTGGATTCTTTTGACTGTAATCTCCACTTAAGCATATAATAATGGACAGATAATATTGCTTGATGAGAAAACAGTAATGTCTCTCACAGACAGTGTAATGATGCACGCTGACAGGATGCTCTGTGCCTGTAAATCTTCATCACAGTCCTTTTAGAACCGTCTTTAGTTGTTTCTAAAACTCTTTAATACAGAAACTCCCACTTTAATACCTGAAAGAATTTCACCTATTTTTTTGTTTTAAATATTTTAATGTACTTGATGCCTTTCTTTTGTTGTTGTTATTGTTTTTGGTTTTGTTTTTGTTTTTCGAGACAGTTTCTCGGTATAGCCCTGGCTGTCCTGGAACTCACTCTGTAGACCAGGCTGGCCTCGAACTCAGAAATCTGCCTGCTTCTGCCTCCCAAGTGCTGGGATTAAAGGCATGGGCCATCACTGCACTTGATACCTTTCTAAGTTGCTTTTATTTGTCTAGTTCTATGATATCAGGTACACGTTCTGAGAATTTGCCCACATCTGCAGTCTAGCGTATTAATATAACTTATGTACATCATATATTTGCAATAGGGAAAAGAAGGGATTGTTTCTCTGAAGGTAATTATATTGGCTCTGTGATACAGGTGGCATTTTTCAGTGTTCCAGGAATAATCAAATGAGTCAGAGGGTGTTGTGGTTGGTTTTTGAGTAAAGCATATATAAGAGATCATTGAAATGATACACCAAGCATACAAATCATACCTCAGTAACAATCATACATCAGCTGTACTGAGCAGAGATCCAGAGAATGAAGGCAGGACCCAGAGAAGCTGTAGATCTCATCTCTGGAGTCATGGTCATATCCCACTGCATCCTTGGGTCTGGAAGGAGATGATACAAGTTACTTAGCTGAAAGGGTGTCCTGTTCAAGAAGAAATTTCAATGCCTTTATACGTGTGCTGTGAGATTTTACTTGAATTCATCGATTGACTTAATGTCTCCTCTTTATGGTCCAGTCAACAGTGAAAAGCAATTCTCGTAGAACATTAGTAGACTATTCTCAAGTCTCTACGCTAGTGTTGAGGGGATTAGTAAAGGCCCAATTCCTCAAGTCTGGTCAATGTTTCAATGGAAAGCTTTCAATACCACCCAGCCCATATCTACCACATGATTGAACAGCACATTATCTTCAGAAAAAGAGTTGGCTGTGCTATCTGCTGGAATATATGTATGATTATTAATAACACACACACACACACACACACACACAGAAAATGTATATGTAGAATAATAAAAATATTCTTTCTCTTCATTAGCAAGACCACTGTGTGGCACTGAGATGCAACTCCCTTTTTGCTGTCTATCAAATTTTTCTTAATTTGACAATAGGTATAAATTATTCAATTATATATTTAAAATGTTGGACTTTGAGGACTTTTAAAGTCCTGCAAGGGTCACATTTTTCTTAGTGATGATGACTACCAAGGGCTGGCTTGGTACCTGACATCAGCAATGTGGGGGAAAGTAATGGCAGAGGGAACACTCTGTCTTCAAACCAAGGTGTCAGATTTATATTTTATCCACCAAAAAAAAAAAAAGTAACATGAATATATTTGACATCTACCTCAGCAAACAAATTAATGCTAATTAAAGATTAATGTGTTACAATTAGCATTAAAAATGCAATTAAATTGTGAGTAAATGGACCAAGAATAGAAAACTGTTAGACGTCTCCCTGCCTGGTTTTCATATTCTGTCTTTTGTTTTTGCAGCAAACAGAGGAACTGGGGCAGCAGGCAGCTCCCAGACTGGAGACGCTCTGGGGAAAGCCCTGGCTTCGGTGAGGAAATATTGACTTTGGATTCCACGGGCACTGCTTGTAGCAGGGTGAACTTTAGTCAGAAGTGGACATATGGAATTTTAGAAAATAAATGCAAATAGCTTTGATGGACGGAGGGGTGGGTGGATAAGGATCACTGGGACTTTTTGAGGGAAAGCTGTTTTACCTCCTTTGGCTAGCCTTATTTATCCCGCTGTCTCATTGGTGCTTAGCCATCTTCATTGAGGGCTGGCCTGGGGATATTCTCCTGGCCTTAGGGCTCATAGAGTTTTCAGTGTGCATTTCTCTTTTCTTATCTCTAATGTATTATAGATGCCCATTGGCTAGCTCAGCCTGACTCTTCAAGAGTCGGTTATAAGATGCTTTGGAAAAGCTACTTGGAAAAAGAAATGACAACCCACTGAGGTTTGTGAGGGACTTGTCCCTTCCTTGGCACCTGAGGGACTTAAATACTTTGCTTTGTCCACCCACTCCCTGTAAGCTGGAGTTGAATCATCCCCATGTCCTCCCTCCTGAGTGACAAACCAGCATTCCTAATTCACTCAGCTAGAGAACGGCTTCTTGTAGTGTCTTCAATCATTTATACTTTTAAGAGGAAATCTGTTCTCCTAAGATTTGTGTCTTTGGTTGCTTTTTCTTTCCCTTGGTGAACATAAAATAAATTCAACTAATATCAGCCTCGGGGTTCTAAGGGAAAGTATTTATTAAGTCTGGGCTCTCTTGTGTCCTGCTCTCCAATGGCCCTAATTACAGAAGACACAATACTGCCCAGCCCCGTTTTGTGGAGGAAGAAAGGAAAATTAGAAAGCAGTATCTCTGTGGTTTGCCCAGAGCCACACAGCCAGTTTTCAGTGGGAAAGGGATCAGACGTGAAGCTGGCTGACCCCCCAGTTCTGTTCCCCACTGCCATGCACCACTACAGCAATCCTTTTGAGAACCTGAAGTAACTGTTTTCATTTTTTCGTTTTGGGATGTTGCTAGTACAGTTGAACGTTCCATGCATTTTGTGACTTGTGGATTTTTAAGGGAACCGTGTGGATGCTTTTTGTTGTTTAAAAACTGTTTATTCAACATCAATGAGAGTTTCTTTTCCTCTCCACTATTTTAAGATCTACTCTCCTGATCACACGAACAACAGCTTTTCCTCCAACCCTTCAACTCCTGTTGGCTCCCCTCCTTCACTCTCAGGTACTGTGTTCTAAACTCCACTTCACAGCCGTAGCAGGTAACAGAAAACACCTTCTACACACCCAGTGCCTGTAGAGATTTCGAATCATAGCCTGGCCATAGAGAAACAGAATGGGTGGATAACAGAATATAATCTGAGGGTGCCTTTATATCCATTTTTGTTTTAAATTAAGTGAAAATCCATTCCTTGAACTCTTCTTAGCTGTACAGATGTTCAACAGCTGGATCATGTATTCCAGTAAAATTTCTCAGAAACATAGTAAATGTAGTCATGAATATCTAATACTTAATTATCAAATATAGGCTATGTAGAGGAATCCTCCCATGAAGTCATTTGAGTCTTCTTCCTAAACTGAAATATTTGGAGGAAAGTGCAATTTTGTATATAAATTGTTGTGTAACTGTTCGAATTAAAAGTATAGTTTGTTTTTAAAATCTAATAAATTACTATGATGTATGGCTTCTAATCACATGACTGTAAGTGGTACAGTTATATAGTAAATCATTTTGCTTTTCCAAGGTACACATCAGTGATCTGCTGTCCTTCTTCGGTCATATGACCTTGTTCCATGCTTTAGTTATTTGGAAAGAAGGGAAGGTGGTTTCCATACAAAACTGTCACATGTATACCTGGCCTTACTGGGATTTAGAATAGATTTGCTCTGCCTATGTTTTGTATTCTCGAGTACTGTGCTGTTCCCTGTGTGCAGCCCTCACTTGCCTCCCTGTAAGCTGAGTTCCCTAGTAGGAAGTGAGAGGTTTCAAAAGGTGGACCGAGTCTCAGAAACAAGGGCTGCAGCCCAGGTGGGATGGCAGCCTCTCTGGTGTAGGAAGTTCACAGAACAGGACAGGGAGAGGGTCACCTGGGTCCTGAGGTCAATCTATTCTAGGTGACCAACTGAAACCAGGCAGAAGCAGGGCTTTTGAGGTGGTAACAGAATACCACTACCACCACCACCCACCCACCACCCACCCCCTCGTCCATAGCACAAATGGAAGGGAAAGCTCAGTATTGTGCTGTTCTGTCTTGGCACCAGATTCTTAGGCTCTGAAAAAAAAAAAAAACATCTCAAATATCAATCTCCCAAACCAGAGGAGGATTGAGCACAAAGGACTTGAGACAATAATGGGAGGGGAGGATGGAAGCAGGTGGAACAGCACGTTCACCACTTCAAACAAAGCAGCTAGATCCGTGCTCTGGAAGTGTGGGAACAACTAATGTCAGATGTCCTGGTTTTGTGCACAAGTGTACCCAAGTGAGGGAGGGCTGGGTGATTTGCCAAGGCTGTGTCAGTAACAATGAGAGACATGCGTGCGTGCTCAGGAACCTGGTGCGCATGCTCCTGCTGCGACACTGTACGTGAGGGTCAGGCGGAGGATGCAGGAACCTATAGCGGGGCCTCAGGGTCTGCAACCTGCCGCAGGTAGAAGGCGCCCGAAACAAGTGCAGGGAAGTCACTTTTGGGGTCCTCGTGATCCATTTTGAAAGATCACATGTTAGAAAGAAAGGATTTTTATGAAGATATAAATAAGGGGACAGATTGCTATTTTCACACCAGCGGCTCTGTCCAAATTCTGTCAAGAAAAGTAATTGAACAAAATATCCTATTTTTATTTAGCATAAAAATACACAGGCATACCCAGAAAAGACAAAAAGAATGGATTTTAAACATGCAGGCAGCACCAGGGCACAGGATCTTGAGAGATAACAGTGATTTCTTTTTCCTTTTTTTTGATTTATACACTTTTTCTATAGTGGGTGCTAATGTTACGATTGTCTTCAATTTAAAAGAGATTTTTATTCTGTAGGTTGGATATAGGGAGTATATTCTGAAAGGCTCTTTGGAAGAAACTACGTAGCTCTTAGTGTTAGGGAGTTTAGTGTCTTCCTCTTTAGAGAAGTGTTGTGAACTAACCTTATTTGCTCCAGAAGTTTCTGAGAGGCCCCATGTAAAGAGCATGTGCTTAGCACGAAATTTGATCCCCAGCTTCAAAATAAATAATAAATAAATATGTGTTTAAAGGTTTATCTCATCCCATAGACATTTTTAAAACAAGAGTAAAGTTCTCATGTATCAACAAGGGAGTTTTGGTTGGACACAGTCTGACCTCCAGTAAGGAGCTAGCCCTCCCCCATCCCTCCTTCTTACCCTTGAAAGCACCACAACTTTCCAATCTCCAGTGACAGATATGTCCCAAAGGAGTCCTGCTAGCTGAAACTTAGACCCAATAAAATATTCCTTTTTACAGAGGAGACCCAGGACACTGAGAGCCAGCCCATGAAAAGACTACATGTTTTACCTTTAAAAGATGTCTCTGGCCTTCATTTGAGAAGACTAAGTGTATTTATCTTATTGACTAATAGAAATCAATGTTGCTTCTTTTTTAAGTATCGGTGGGTTTAAGTGCACACAGATCTGATTGTTTTTCTCATTTCAATATCAGCAGGCACAGCTGTTTGGTCTAGAAATGGAGGACAGGCCTCGTCATCTCCCAATTATGAAGGACCCTTGCACTCGCTGGTATGTCGCCTCTCAGATCTGACACTTTCTGATCAGGTTTTCTTTTCTTCTGTCGCTCTGTGGTGCTTATTTTCAATGATTGCTACTTTGAAGTCGACATTAGGACGACCAGCTTGCCAGAGCAGGCGTCATAAGGATGCTCATCTCTGTTTGGAGATGGTGACCTAGATGTATCTGGAATGGAAGCCCAAGGCTCCAAATACCTAGGGCCTGAGAGGAGATAAAGAATCATCCTAGGAGCTTAGTATAGTGCTCTCCTCCCTGTTCCTTTGGGAAACAATTCAGAGCAGTGAGTAGTAGTGTGAGGACTGGGTCACTTGAAGATGCTATCTTCCTCCTCCCTGCCTACAGGTAACATTAGGCCATTTCCTCCTAACCTCAAGCAAGAGGCCTACCATTTTTGTCCCCATCTGCTGTGGTTCTTGTAGGAAGGAATCCAGCAATTTGACTTGTAAGGAAGTGACTACTCTTCCAGGGGAAATAGCTGAACAGTTCCACGGGCCTAACTCATCTTATAAATACTCACAGGATGATTCAAAGTCTGGCACTTTTATCTTCCTCAGCTTAGGGTGGGTGGAGCTGAAATTATGCAAAAAACAGCCCTGCACCATGCAGGTTGGGTGTGTGTCCATGAGTCAAAAGCAGTGGGGACCCCAATTCTGCCTCGGGGTTGAGATTTCAGCTCTTCTTGCATATTTTGAGATGAAACACTGAAGAGCACAAGCATTTCCCTATCTGCACCCATGTAAACCTATCTGTGATTTAGGGGCTACAGTCTTCCTTTTCAACTTACTTTTTAAGGGAAATCTGGAGATGAAAATGCAGAGATGAGTGTCTTCCTTTAGGAGCTGGATGAATTATCTAGCTGTGCATTTTAGCCGATAAAGACAACAGCCCTGAGAGCCCACTGTCCAGCTCCTTCATCGGCAGACTCCATCCAGATAGCTCAGTTGTTCTAAGTATTTATCCTCTGCAGGCTCTTCTCCATAGCCTAGTCATCAAAACCAGGCTTTATCCAGCTGTAGGCCTGGAGAGGTTGGTACATAGCTCTGGACCACAGCTTGGATTCCTCGTATATTCTGAACACTCACAGGGATTCCCAAGTCGAGACCTCTCCCTCCGAGGGAACTGTCATCCAGGAAGTATGCCAGGCACCTAGATGATTTCTTTTCATGCTTCCATTGACCCAACTATCTACCATCATCTTGTTCTTTATCAATTAAACATTGTAGACTTGGAGAAAGTAACATTTCCTCAGTCAAGTAAGTAGCAGCGCTAGCAGACTAGGGACGCCCTGCAACTTTCAAGCCTACCAAATCAAAATGTTCTGTACCATAGACTAACTCTATTAGACACACATTCTTCCTGTCAGTGTAGAATAATTGGAAGTTGCTTTTCTCATGCAGTAGGGGTGGTACATCTGTTTGCATAGTGCATCGGAAACCAAAGTAGAACAGAATGTGTTCTAGCACAAAACAGCATTAGTGTGAAGATGAAAGGAAGAAAGGAAAAAAGAAAGAAAGAAAGAAAGAAAGAAGAAAGGAAGGAAAGAAGGAAGAAAGAAAGAAAGAAAGAAAGGAAGGAAGGAAGGAAGGAAGGGAGGGAAGAAGGGAGGGAGGGAGGGAGAGAGGGAGGGAGGGAGGGAGGGAAAGGAAAAGAGAATGTAGATTCCAACCCTGACTACTACCTTTTGGTAATAAGACACTTTTGGTAATTATAATTCACTTACTTTTTGAGCTTCATTTTTGATGTCTATATGGAAGAAGCACTCCTGTCCTGTCTGTGAATACATGTTTAATATGCATCGATGAGATGGTATATTTTAATGTGTACACTGGCAAACAATAATTGATGTATATTAATCACAGTAAAAAATGAAGACAAAACTGTACTTTTTCTTCACTGTTAGCTATAGCATAGGCCTTATATAGTTGAAGAAAACTAGGATCCTAATGTTTAAAATGGGAGTGGGTGATTGGCTTTGAATTGCATGAGGTAATGAATTCTCTGCTGCTGTGTGGTCTCTGAAATCAGCTAGAGGTCTTGGGTAGATGATCAAGCAAAATCTTTGTTAGTCTTTAGTCCTGTGCTTTCATAGCACTTTGGGTGACAGAATTTTTAAAGATATTTTAGCTGTAACAATTTCTGAGCCTCTTCCCTACATGTACACATAAAGGTTGCTATTGATAACAGATTAAAAAGTAGGGGGTGGGGAAGGGGGCTTAAAGTTGTCTAAACCTTTACCTGTCTCTGACTTGAAGAAAATTTCATTCAAAAACCAAAAATAGATCATCTTTCAACTACTAATATTTTAGGCCTTCAGTCAGTACTCGCCAAAGTGTTCCTCAAATTCAATGCATGTTTTCTTCTGTTACCATAAATCTCAGTTCTCTTTCAAGCTAATGGAGTCCAGTGTAGCATATGTACATAATAATGTCCTCAAAGAATTATTGAATTTACTTTGTTCCTGAAAAATAACACTGTAACTTTAACATATTTTCCACTAGTTTCTTAGGAAGGACATTATTTATTTTTATTATTGTTCTAAGGAAAAAAACTTTATTGGAAACATATATTCTGAAACCCAACCTGGTCTGTCGCAGCTCAGGATTCTGCTTATGTAGCCTGTGCACACATTTCAAACTAAATCAGATTTCCCTCCACTTGCAAACTAACAGCAAAGCCGAATTGAAGACCGTTTAGAAAGACTGGATGACGCGATCCATGTTCTCCGGAATCACGCAGTGGGGCCGTCCACAGCTGTGCCTGGTGGCCATGGGGATATGCATGGAATCATCGGACCTTCTCACAATGGAGCAATGGGTAGCCTGGGCTCAGGGTATGGAACTGGCCTTCTCTCAGCCAACAGACATTCACTCATGGTAAGTGGGCTTTATTTATGTAGAATCAGAATTGCAAGTATAAATACTACTGCTACTGTTTTTGTAAGAATCACTTTATTAGAGACATTATTCTCTATATGGATAATTCACATATTGATAGTGTAAAATTCAGTGTGTTTTAGTGTGTTCACAGTATTGTAAGACCATCATGATAGTCAAATTTTAAAATCGTTTTGCCTCTTGCACAAAGATAAAGAAAGCCACAGGACCATCAAACAATCAAATAGCTATTCTCCCACCCACCTCATACCCCTCCTGTCCCCCAGCTCCTGGCAATCACCAAGTTGCTTCCTGTCTCTGTAGATTCTGGGCATTTCATTCAGAAACTGTATTATAGTTTTATTTGTTTTTCTTACCATTCTATAGAGCACATTACATTTCCCACTTACCAGCTGACAGATCCTATGGCTGCCTTCACTCTTTGACCCATGCAAACAAACAAACACTCTTATGAGTATTCATGCACAAGATTTTATATGGGCATGTGTTTTCGCTCCACACAGGTATCAGTAAGTTGCTAGATCGCCGCTCATAACTTCAGTCATTCATCTTGATGACTTTGATCAAAGCCCACAAGCCAAGTTCATGTTACATCAGTAACGTTTCAAATATGAGGGTGGTACGGTTTGGTTTGTCTTTAAGAAGCTAAAATGATGCCTTTCACTCTCCGGGTTGAGGCTAGAAATCATTGTGCACTTGCCTTTTGTGGTGTTCAGAGACCGCTTATGAGAAAAATATGACGTGATAATAATTAGCTGATGAATGGTGTAAGTTTCACTTTATTGCTGATTTTGTGAGTAGTACTGCCCCTTGCACATACCTGGTGGTAAACATCCTGTTGCCCTGCTTGACCCTTGTCAAGTTTCCATATTGCTTGGGGGAGGTCCACTCTCCATTCTTACTGCAGCTTCTCTCACTTGGGGATGCTTCCAAAAGAAAGTGCAAAATGACTGTGAAACCTCGTTCAGCTTTTTGGTCCTTCTTCAATTTCTCTTCATTGAAAGACCAAGATGCAGAGTGCCACCCCGCACAGTATAATACTGAAACCTGCAACCAATTAGAAACCAAAAAATGCGAGTTTATAAATAGAAGCAATGAACTCACTTCTAAAATGTGGAGAGATATTTTTTGAATGCCAATGCTAAATCTTTCTTCCTTACTTTTTTCTTTATCTTGACCTCTACCCTAAAAATCCATCATTGAGTAAAAATTGTTTGCATGTTCATTGGCAGTTGCTAAAGAGTTTGCAAAGGCAAGTCTAGATTTTAATTTAGCCTGGCCTCAGGTAATGTGTTAAACACTAGGGATGCATTTAATATGAGGTTTTCATTTGTACAGCTTTCTTTTTTTCCCCCTGACTGCAATGTTTAAACAACACTGCTTTTAATTAAGAAATCTGGCTTTATTAAAATCCAGATCTGCGCCTTATAACCAGTTATGTATATCTGCTCTCAATCAAGAGAAAAATAGACTAATTTTTGTAGCTATGTTCACTTTGCATATGTTAGCCGGATGCGGCATGCACCCAAGACATTGATGTAAAAACTGTCTTTTCCATAAATATGTAGTTTGTTCTTAAATACCAGATGGAGGCTAAGCATTTCTTTAATGTATTAAACTGTACATTGATGCTTTTTGGAATTATATGACCTTTGAGTTGCCTCTTTGAGTCTGATTCTGAGATGGGACAGGAGGAAAAAGAGGAGAAAAGACAAAAATAAGTAGAATTATTTTTGGAGAGGGGAAGTTGAACTGACCCCAGTGGAAAGTAAAGAGAGAGACTACAACTGAACACTTTTAAAAAGGCAAATGATTGGTCAGTATTATACAGACACCTCTTGGATATGGTTGCTGGGATACTATATAGAAGATAAAAGGTTGCTGGTTCTACTGACTGAAACAAAAGTTCTCTCTCACTCCAAAGAGCCAGCTAGATCTTGGCCTAGCTCCAGAGATGTGCATGTCAACAGCTCAAGCCCTTTGCATCCAATAGAGGACTTGTTATCCTCTTCACTTTCTAGAAACCACGCAGCATGTCCCTAAAAATCTAAACTCCTCACGTGCATAAGAGAGACTGGATTGGCGAATCTTATCTCAACACCAACCTGCATGGGTTCTAAAACCAAACTCTAAGAAGAAAGGAAATGTTTTTTTAATTTAGTCAGTGTGAAGTTAGCCTTTGACCATTTGACACATTCCACAATAAAAATAATAATAATAATAATAATAATAATAATAATAATAATAAAAATAAAAAGGTTTGAGAGGAAGCAAAAAAGGAAAAAAGAAAGAAAGAAAAATCCCCTCTACCCCTCACAACAACAACAAAAATTCAAGGAGGATGCTGGGAATGCTTTCCACATTTGGATTCTAATACATGAAACAGGTGTTCAACCCGTAGCCAGCTGCAGGAAATAAAGTAGAGGTGGGAGGTGTGTACAGGAAGCAGGGCAGGAAGGGCTGGAACGAGGCCGGCTCTCAGCTCCACACCTTCCTTTGTTGAGTGGAACTGAGGCGCAGAAACTTGAGACTCATCCCAAGGCTGGTTTTGTTTTGAATAAATCTCCCTTCTAACCCTGCCTCCTGATTCCTCCTGATTAAAAAACAGATACAGCTCCAACTGGTCTTGACCTCCATGCTCCTCTTTCTTCCCTCCCCACCTCCTGAGTATGGAAACAAAAAGGCCTGATGCCTTGGAAGATGATGGAAGTCCTCCTTTCCCCAGCAGCTTGACTGGTGGGGAACACTGTGTTTCTGCTCCAGCTAGTGGGTGATCTCCTTTTATTGCTCACTTATTGCACTGAGCTTTGAGTCACAAAATGTCTTCCTTAGTCTTTGGTAATTTACTGAATATTAATGCAATGAAAGGGATTTCTCCCTCACTTCAACATGGCTTATACCACCGAAGTGAATGGCAGATATGCGGGGCTTTCTAGATAGCATTATTTGACCACTTTTCCTTTCTCAGAAGCTTCAAAGGAATTTCCATTGTCTCTAAGAATAGAATCAGCTCCCTAGCTCATCAGTCAAGACCCTTGCTTATTTACCAAAAGCCTTATATCTTGCCACTCCATTATGCAAAGGTTTTCCAGCCAGACCAGTGTATGCGCATTACCAGAACTGGCCCCATTAAGTACTTCGTTTGCATATGTCCTAGGTTCATCCGCCCTGTCCACTTCTCTCTTCTCACCCATTGTCAAAGTTCTGACAAACCCTTCCTCTTCTAGGAAGCCGTCCGTTGCTGCTTCTGTTTATAACAGTCATTTTATGCACCCCCAGCACCTCCATCTCTTAGCATAATGAGTCATAACATTTCCAGATAGTTATCTTACCCAGCTTCACATAGCTGGGCATCTTTTATAGGTGCCACTTCGATATGCCTGGCTGCTCTATGGTCCTTGAGTGCCACATTTTATATGCCCCCTCCCTCCCAAGGAATAGACTAGCTTGGCCCCTCTGGTCTAGGCTCTGGTCACAGCATCTCAGGTGGCATTCCTAAAAGTCCAGTGAGGGGTACCATGTTGGCTGTTAGGGTTGGTGATGCAAGCCTCATGAATTCAAACAAGTCAAGACCTACAGCTGCATTTAAGTCTGGAGACCTTACTCCAAGTTCTGTTTTACTGCCATACCTCTTTCCTGGAAATTGTAAACACACCTCTTCAGAACTCATTTTTGGTGCAAAGAGTTTGTGATTTTTGTATCTTGATAAATGTTGGTTGGTAGAAGGTTCTGCATATTTTATGGTCTGCTTCGCCAGAGCAACTTTCTTCTCTCCAGTGGGGGGAGGAGGGTGCAGGTATAGCATGCTCAGGGTAAAACATCCTTGTCAAAGTGTCTTCCTAAGCCACCACATACATGCCAAGTGGCCAAGAGTTGTAAACTCTTCCTCCTTGAATCCCCAAGGATATAGTTTTAAGTCATCAAGTATGTTTCTTATCATAACAGCCTCCTTCCCTGGCAAAGTCAAAACTCTGTAGATAGGAGAAGGAAACAATTGGGTTTGTCTCTTACCTAATTAGGAAATCTTAACCATGTCTACACACATCTCATTGTTAATCTTGGCATTTAAATTTTCTGCTCTCATGCAAACCAATTTAGAAATAGTCTTCCAAAGCCAGTTCTCTTCCATATCCATTGGCTATTCAAACTCACAGATGAGGCCTGAAAGAAGCCTTTCAAATGACTTCACATTGTCCTTTAGTGGAACAAAACAGACATCAAACATGTCTTCCTGTGGCTCTGTGTGTGACCTTGTACATTACCTGTAGATAGGCTCGGAGATGCTGTGTTTATTATCCATGTGTAATGACTCTGGTTTTCAGTTCCTTTTTTGAGTAAATTCTGCTTGTTCATCTCAAGAACATTTAGCTGTGGTAACTAGAGTCAGGTACTGTGCTTAGTTATGGTCTCTGGTCTCAGGGGGGCTTACAAACTAGTTGGAAAGAACCACTATCTTTAAACAAATTGCTGTATGCTTGTCCACTAGACCCTATAAGAAAACAGGGACTCTCTTATCTAGATGGGCCAGTGTCATGATTAGCTGATTTAGGAGAAGTGCTCTCTCTGCGCGCTCTCTCTCTCTCTCTCTCTCTCTCTCTCTCTCTCTCTCTTGCTGTCTCTGTCTCTCTCTCTCTGTCTCTCTCTCTCTCTCTTTGTGTGTGTGTGTGTGTGTGTGTGTGTGTGTGTGTGTGTGTACAGAACCCAGGGCTTTGTCTAGGTGCACTACCACCGAGCTATGACTCTGGCCCTCATCCCCCTCTTTCTTGTTTAAATTTGAAGTAGGGTTTCTCTATTATACTCAGGTTCACCTTGAACATACTCTCTAGCTTACGGTGGCTTTGAACTCTCAGTCTTCCTTTCTCATCCCCCGACCCTTCATTAGGCTTAAAAGCTTATACCACACGACCTAACAGTAGTAGTAGTCTCTGAAGAACTGCAGCAGCTGATGAAGAGATGGAGCAGTCATGTGACCTGTCTCC